GGGGGGGGGGGGGGGGGGGGTTTTGGGGGGGGGGGGGGGGGGGGGGGGGGTAGGGCCGGCCGGGTCGGGGATGGGACCGGTGTCCGTTCAGGGCGAGCAGTGGGCGATGGAGATGGAAATGGTGTTTGCGCAGGAGCGGAGGAGATGGGAAGAGTGAGTGTCGTGTCTTTTTTTGTGGGTTGTTTTGCCGACGGTGTAGATTTGAGGAGCTAATGGAGGATTGGTTGTAATTTTTTGTTGAGTGTTTTCGAATCCTCTTGATGTCTCAGTGCTGGGTGTTGTCAAATGCTTGCGGTGGCAAGAGTCCCGAGGAGGTTTTCGTGCAAGCGCACATTGCCGCTTTTGCATGGGTGCCGCATGGACAGCACCCGCTTCGTTGTCTTGTCCGCGTGTGGATGGCCGCGATAGCAATGTGTGCTTCCTACCTCTTGCATGCCTCACGGTGGTTTTTCCGATCGTTACTCCGCTCTGCCGCGATTTTTACTCACGTATGTAGGCATCAGCGCTGCTTGGAGACGGAGCTGGATTGGGCCTTGGCTGCTCGCGCTCGGGCAGAGGCAAGGAGCGAAGAGGTAGGAAGTACTGTATGACCCTCGGACCGATGTTGGCCCAACTTCCTCGGCGCGTAGGGCAACACCCGACTCTTGCCCCCACCGTGCCATGCAGGTCAACTCGTCTCCTGTCAATCGTTGGTCTCTATTGTGATCCCATCCTCTCTCTTGTTTTGCTTTGATGCCCGCAGGACAGTGCGAGGGTAGAGGTGCTCGAGGGCAGGGTGTCTGCGTGGCGCGACGAGGTAGGTGGAGTGACGGGAGACGAGGTTGAACCCGCCTTGGCTGGTCGTTACGCATGTATAACACTCTTGCGTGGAAGTGTAGGGACCATTGCGATAGGAAGGATGCAAGGGCTCTTTAGGCGGGGAAGTTTCCACGGCGAAACTGTGGAAGCCTCAGGCCATTGGTTGCGTTTAGTTGGGTTGTAGCATTGAAAGGCTCAGTTAACCACGTACCACAGCCAGGCTCTAGAGTTTTCTACCTTGATTTGGAGTTGAGCTGCTGCGTTCGCTCGCTCTCCTTTGATCGCTGCAAGCCTTTCTAACGTAGCCTGGCTTCGTCTTGGCGCGTTTGGCACAAGCACAAGCAAAAGCACACCACACGCTGACCGCGCACCCCGGCTGCCTCCCATGCCGCCAACGTGCCTCTTGCGTCGCCCCCAGTACTCGGTGATCGGGCGTGACGTGAAGCAGGCGGTGAGGCTGCTAGAGATGAGCTTGTCGGGCTTGATGTCGGCGGAGACCGCGCTCAACATCTGGAGGGATGAGATCCCGTCCAAGGTGAGAAAAGAGTTTTGCGCCGGCTGTCGTCATAAGCCTTGTCGGCGCCGAGGTGTACTCGCTCGTGATCTGATGCTGTCGTCATAAGCCTTGTCGGCGCCGAGGTGTACTCGCTCGTGATCTGATCCTGCCTGGGTGTTGCCGTGTGCAAAGTCGGGCGGCTTCCGCCGTGCTTATCCCCAACTCCTGTTGGTAAAATATGCATCGCGTCGTGGATGGCGTGCCGGCGTGTTTTGTGCGTGGACTTGTGCGTGAGTGTGCCACCCGTGCTGTATCTGTCGCAGCAGTGTGTCCTGCGTTAATTTCCCTGTCTTGTTGTTATGTGACAGGCGTACGACGAGATTATGGGCTGCCTGACCAAGGGCGATATGGCGCTGTCAAGCACAGCTTCATCTTCGGAGAAGGAGTGAGACAGGGCGGGAGGTAGAGAGAAGAGAGAGAGATGCGCTGCTAGAAGCAACACAGCAAGAACGCGGCAGCTCTCGGCGTGACCTACGATAGCTCCTTGGCCCCCCGGCATATCGTTCCTTTGCTCTCTCGCTGTGCGCGTCTCTGTAGGATTAATTTGGTGTTTGATCGCCTCGGGTCCTTGAGGTGAACGAACGAAAAGGTGCGCGGGCGGGCCCCCTTTTACCCGTCCTATCTCCGTAGAAGCTTGTACCATGTATGTATGTATGGCGGTTTGGCGCACCCTCAAATGTGAGTTTAGCGGCCATGCCCACTCGAATCGAGTGTCTCGGCTTGCCTGGGCAGCCAGCTACCTTGTTGTTGGACTCGGCGAGTCGGCCGGTCCGTTGTGCTTGGGATACATCGCGGGCATGATGAACGGCCGTGCAACCTACGGCGGTTTTGGCGCGGCGCGTTTGCTTGTTTTTATTTTCCCTCTTGCGCATGCCAGGCGACCTTCAGCACTGGAATAATAATATAATTCCCCGTTGCAAGAAGTAATGAGTCTCTTTCGTCCCTTTTGTGTGTTGAACATGGAGGTTTCCCCCTGTTTTTTCGATTTGCGGTGTACTCTTGGTTTTTTTATTTGCGTGCCCTCTTTGCTATCCTCCCCCCCCCCCCCCCCCCCCCTGCCCCCCCGCCCCCCCCGGACCAGTCACCACACATTTTCTTTAATTTCTACCGATTGTTAACATTACGTTTCCCGTGAAACAGCCTTGGAGGAGGTCGTGTTGGTATCATAGGCCAGCCGGCGCCTCGTAGGCTGGACGGCTTGTCATCTTACTTTGTTCACGGTCAATGGTCTAGCCAACAGGGGGGGGGCACTGCTTTCTGCCCTTTCCGCGTTCTTGGGCTGCCACGACCCCAATGCGTGATATGTACCTCGATCTGGTGTAGACTCTGCGAGCCATGTGTGTGTGCATAGCATATAGGTTGTGTGCAAGGTGTGTGCATGCTGTATGTCCGTTACACGCATGCGTGATGTAACGCGTGTGGACATTCGTAGATACGAGAGCGTGGCGTGCCACCGGACACGAGGGTGTATGCTTAGATCGTCGACCGCTGCGGTGTGGCGGGGACTTTGGTGTTTTGTGTAGCGGAATGTCATCTCGGGGCGTGTGAAGCAGTTAATCTACCTGTTTGTGCGAATGTGTTGATGTGAAGCAGAGGGTCATCAACGGCGATGCGACTCGCTTGTTTTTATCGTCCTCTATATCTACCGTAGGTTGGTGTCAGATGAATGAGTGATGGGTGAGGGTTTTAGGGTGGACGGACAACCGCATATCCTCCGTTTAAGTAGTTTCTTGGAAATATCGTGGACGATGCTAGCTAGTGTTTTTCAGCGTACCTGGTGTGTGTTCCGTCGTGCATGCGGTACGCCAGGGTATATTAATGGCCTTTTTTTTTGTCAGCGAAGCCCGCTGTAGCGAGGAGAGGCAGCACCCACCTTCCTGAGTAGATCCTGAGTATATTTCATGTCCCTGTTGTGCTTGCTTGCCGGTAGCGGATTATCGTCGGAGGTAGGGTAGCATGTTTCTAGCACGATCGATTCAGCAGTATATGTCGAGGGTAGGCCTTAGGTTGTTTTTTGGTCCCAGGTGTGGTAGGTGCTTATTTTGTTTATTCGACGTGCGTGTGATGATGTGGTTTGCATCGAGCGGCGGTCCGATCCTTTGCCACACGGCAAAAGCTCGGCAGAGCCGGCGGTGCAAAACCGGCAAGATGGGCCAGAGAGAAGATGTAAGGCTCAGCGAGGTGTGAAATCCACTGCCCGCGAAAGAAAGGTGGAAGGCGCCACCACGCCGGCGTGTAGTTTGTTGTGACCCCCTTGTGTGTTTGGCGCAAAGACGCAAAGTGGGCCACGCGCGCACGTGGCCATTGCAGGTGAAGCATGATGAAGTGTATCCCTCGAGAAAGGAAATGCGTGTGGAATCGAGAGGAGGGCGTTGGACAAACAAAAAATGGAAAGATGACAGTAAAAAAAGTACTTGAACGAAGAAGATGAAACTACTCGACATGGTTTCGCAATAATTACAGCTGAGGGTATGGACTTTGCGTGTTGCTTCTCCCGTCTCTTTTCACTGTCACCCCTAGCTGTGGTAGTTGTTTGTCACTACATGAATCTACCTGCTAGCTGCGGTTGTTTTTCATTCTTGAGTCTAAACGAAAGAGGCAGGCACCGTTTCGACGCAGCCTTTTCGTTGACATTCTGCTCCACCAAATTTCGCTCGCTTTTACGCATCAACCATCTGCCTGCCTGTTTCCTGTGCGTCCCGGCCGCTTAAAGCAAATAATAGGCAGCCGTAGATGGTTTATCTCTTTCGTGTTCCTCTCTCCCCCCTCGTTCTTCTTTGTAACGCGGCGTGACGAAAAAAAGTGAAACGGGCGTCTTCTCAGACGAGGTCGGCAGACAATCAGTTTCCCAGTCATTCCGTTTCCGGTCCCGGGGGGCGAGCGCGCGTGGAATATACGTACGTACGCGGAAGCAGAAAGTTCGATTATTTGTAACGCTACCAACCAAGCGGTGAGTAAATTCTCGTAGTTTTTACTCCTTGCAATACACACGTAGCACGGGACTTGTGTCTGGAAAAGAAAGATTGCACGTCACTTGATGAGTAAATGCGCAGCAGGCTTCGTCGTTGCTGGTGCTTTTTTAATCATGCCGAGAGCAGAACGCGGGCTACGCATACGAGGCAGAATCGAGCAACAACGTCGTCCATGGGAGGGACAATATTTTGCTCTCCCCCCTGCTCCCCTTCATGCGACTCGCCAAATACCTCACGGCGCTTCGCGCTTGGTGATGTGAGAGCCTGGTCCGGTGAGAACCCGGCGTGCTCCGTCCCGGCTTTGTAGGGATGCGAGGTCAATGGTCAAACGACTACGGCATGCACGACTATGAGTATGAGTACACCCCCCCTGAGCAGGATGGGACGTAGGGAAGTTGACATGGCAGTATCGCATGTATGTGCGGGATGAGAGAGGGGAGGTTGCCGAGAATAGTATGGGAGGCGAAGTGGGCAAACAAAAAGAGGGGTAGACAACCCACGGAATGGGTCAAGGTTGTAGAGGACGTATGGAAGGGGATAGACATCGACGAAGATGAAACGATGGAAACGGAGGGTCTACAGGGGTTCAAGGAGAAGATATCTGTTGCTTGTGCCGAGAGAGAAGAACAGAATCTATGGAAAGAAACCGAGGATAAGGAGGGTCTAGAAGTGTACGGAATGTTGAAAGAAGGAATAGGGTTCAAGGACTACCTACATGGACCAATGGATGCAGGGACAAGCTTGAGGTCAAATTCAGGACCGGGGACATAGGCCTTCGAGAACGTCGACGAAGACATGGGACGGTAGACGACGAAGACGGCAAGTTCAAATGTGAGTGCGGCTTCGAATGCGAAGACCGTGTTCATGTAGTCGCGGAATGTCCGTGGTACGAAGAGGAGAGGGAAGTGTACATGACTGAGCTGGGAAGAATACAAGGGAGGTACAGAGATGTTTGAGGCATGGAATAGAGAGGAGAGGACGGTAGCTGTACTGGGGAGTAGGAAGTGATTTGAAAAGGCGGGAAGGGATATCGTTAGGATAGACAAGCTAGGGAAGACATTTTTGAGCCACCTTCGGCAAAGTAGGAAGGAACGATTGGCCGTCGGTGATCGATCCTGTGGGAACAATGCTCCGTCCTCTCGAGGACGCGTGGTCAATGGTCTAACCGCTAAGGCATGCAAAACATAAGAGTACGCCCCCCCCCTGAGCAGGATGCAGCGCACCCTTCATACGACTCGCCTAAAGGTGCTTCGCGATTGGTGATGTGAGAGCCTGGTCCGGTGAGAACCGGGCGTGCTCCGTCCCGGCTTTGTGGGGATGCGATGTCAATGGTCTAACGAACACTTGGGGCATGGACTACTATGAGTACCTCCCCCCTCCCCGTCCCCTCCCCCGACCGTGCATGTTTGTCATTATACTCGCGGTTCGCGGATCTTAGACAGAATGTGGCTTTCTTCCCTGCATGCCTTGATCAGACCGACGCGTGCGTCCGTATGCACGACGTCCGCAAACAAGGCCGAGAGGAAACAAACCAGGCATATGGCCAATGAAGAACTCTTTTCTTGCTTCCAAGCGTGAGAGGAATAAGGAAGGTTGGTGCCGCGCACTCACCTATCTCATCCCGAGGTGTCCATTGTGTCTGTGAAGATGACATGCTAAGCGCTACCGATGTAGCATCGAGGGAGCGAATGATGCTACATCAGCGACGAGGCACACGAAGAAACTAAAAAAAAAAAAAACAGACAAGAGATCAGGCACCGCATATCACCATTTCTTCCTTGTGTCTTGCACAACGGATTTATTCCCCTTATTCCTATTTTGCACAAACAAGTAAACCTTTTCGAACCCCACCAAAAACCTACCTGAGCGACACCATAATAATAATCTCCTGTGGGGATTCCAATCTACGTACTTCCAATGCAACCAGGTAGATAACTTCGTTGTACCCAGGTAACGCAAGAAAGTAAATTTGACGAGAAAATAGAAATGAATCCCCCCCCCTTCCCCACCGCGCGCAACGCCCGAAAAAAAAAAGCTTCTGCGGGACGTTATTAAACTAATGTGGACCTGGGATGTACGCCTGGCTGTCTTCTTGGGACCTCTCTCGAAATGCGAACCTGACCGGTGACGTCCGGCGTATGCAACCTTATCGGGCATCTTGATCCGTGCAGTGTCTTCCCGCCCTACCCCCCCCCCCCCCCCCA